CAGAAACATTGTCTACTGCATTCATATCACATTATAAAACACCTTCGACTCACAGATTGTAGTGCATTATTTCATATAACTGAGAGCGCTAGTACCTTTCATTTTTATATTTTCCATCGAGATACTAAACAAAAAATATTTCACTGAAATTCAAAGATTATTAATTTATTATTGAATTATTCTATCAGATGATCACCATAGGATGTATAATATTACCTATGGCATATGAATATACTTACCAATATAATAACGACATATTCTGGATTTAACTTTCATAATGCAGTTTTATATAATATATTATTACATATATGTTCATGTTTTTATTTTAGTTATGTTTGTATTTTAAAGTGCTATTTATTTGGCTCGGAGTTCCTTTAAAACATTATCCTACACGACATTTATTTTTTTGTAAATGTAAAAATATTAAAATTTGGAAAAATCAAGAATACTATAAAATTTATACAATGGAGTATTGTTTTCCTTAGTACGACCTCCAACAAGTTTGCAAATAAGACTATTTTAAACTTCATAATATTATGTCAGTTCATCATTTATAAATTATATGCTTTTATGTTTTGAAAGGGATAATTTGTTAACAATTTCGATTTCTTTTGAAAATAATTGTGAACATTGAAGCTAGTTGCTTCGACCCTATACTACAGTTTTTTTTTAGTTTACTTTTCAGCTTTGTATAATGTTGATTTTTTATAAAAGTTGCGTCATTTACAATTTTTCTATCATTTTGGAGTTTTTTTATACATTTTTAAAAAGGTGTTACTAATATACTTTTATCATTTATGTCATAATATTATCAATGTCTTAACATTTTGAAGAAAAGTAATTCTAAATAAAATATCCAAATTCAGCAATTAAAATAAATCTAGAACATTTTTCAAATAATAATTAACTATGATAAGTACGAGTATAATAAAACATTTTATAAGCTCAAGTCGTATTGTATACGCGATATATTTTTATCAATCACAGTACATTTATTTACAATTATTTAACATTTCTGTACTTACTTTAAAATAATTAATTAAAAGTAGAATTCCAATTACTACGTTAAATCGATGTTAAATATATTAATTAAACATAATTCTGGTAGTAATATATTATATTAATTTGTTTCATATTTCTTTCTTTAAAAACAATACACCTGTATATATATATATATATATAAAATCATACAATATATTATTATAATAGTTGTATTCCATATTTCTACGACACGTTTACCTACTTTATACTTGAATGTCCTCATAAACATTAGCGTTTTAAATATTATCAAAGAATACATTACGACTTTACCCAGCTATAAACATTATTTCGAGTTGTGTTGTTGTTCATTCGTTAAGCTGCAGTTGACGACTGTGTGCAGTGCAAGACAGTATATTGTCCATTTGTTATCGATAATACTCGTAATATTTATGTACCTATTAACTAAATTTTATTATTACAAACATACGAGTATGTATACTGTAAAAAAAACTAAACACGCGTTATACACCACCACATTATGTCCTTCATACTATTTTATTTTGATATTGACCACTAAAAATATAGTAATTGTGTACCTATACTAAAACTACTTTTTTTGTTGTAATTATTAGTGTTTATGCATTAAGCCTTGGAATCCTTATCAAAAATGTTTTGTACTTATAATTGTAACTGTTTTAAATTCTGACAATGTTTTATTAAAATGATTAAAAACATGTGTGCATTATCGTATAAAGCATCAACAGTCACATTATTCATATTTATAAATATCATTACGCATATTATATACCTATATTCACATATATATGTATATAATTTTCTTGATATTTCATGAATATGATTCTAAATTAGTTATTACCAACTTGATAACGTTACGTAACGTTCTACCATTTTCGTTGACGTTTCGTATGACAATTACAAATTTACAATATAAATAAATCATACACGTATATTATATAATATACAGTGGTTAAAAAGGAAAAAATGTTGTGGGGGGACTGTAGGCATCAAAAATTGAGGAGCGTTCCCCTGCCTAATTCTAAATCTTACCAACTTTTTTTAGGAAACCCATGAGGTCTAAGCCTCTTCTGTTACATATATATGTTCTTAAAAAATTTATTTTTATAGGGTGTAAAAACAAATTTCCTCCAAAGAAAAATAGTTCTATACATATGCCTGCTCAGTAAAAATAAATTGAAATACATTATTACTGTAATATATAAATACAAATAAATATAAATACTTTATATTTTATGTCACATATTATTTATTTTTTCCACTTGTTCAAATCAATCAAAAAAATTAATTTCATGTAATATTGTAATATTATAATAAGTATTGTATATTGAATATTGTATTTTAGTGACCAATGCCATTAAGCGTCCACCCGGACTTGTGGCGACTTAAATTGAAGAGGATGCATAATCTTATGTTAAATAAGAAGAAGGACCCCCCTCCGCCCCACCACTTTAACCACTGATAATAGATGATTTATACATTATGTTGTTTTTCAGATTCTGAAGTTCAGAATACGTAGTAAGATGTTTGGTAAATAATACATAAGTTGATTGAAAAATCCTCAGCTTTAAACAAAAGTCAGTTCATATATTATTAGTTTCCTAAACCCGGACACAATTAGTATATGTTCCGTTTGTACCCGGGACTCGATTAGTATTTAATTTTTTTTTTTTCCATTCAGGTATAAGGACTCAATTAGTATACAACGAAATATTCTACGAATATATCTATATGACACAATATAAATAATATTATGATTTACGAAGAACTTACATTTTATAACAATTAGTATAAACTGTAAAGATCTTCAGTTTTGATATTTCGTGACGTGCTATTAGTAAATAATCGTTTAATTATGTGTTGTAAACTGTAATACTACAAGCTTTAATTCGACGGTTGTCGATATTTATCTCTGTCGAATTCAAAAATTGTGTTATTTAACACTAGGATATCAGCCGAGCGTCCAGATGATGTCATACAACGTTCATATTTTTATATGAATCTATATTGCTTAAAACTTCTTGTAATAATAATTGCCACTATTTATTCATTTTATCATTTCCGTGGAATTAACAATAGTGTCATATAATATATTATACTAAGCGTGCTAAATAAATAACGTTCGACGTCTAATCGGTGATAATAATATTGTACTCAAAAACTGTTAAAATCGTAAATAATAATTATTCATAACGTAAAGTTGGTTACAATGACTGGTAACTGTATGGGGTTTAATAAAAACTGATTATAACCAAACAACCAAACAGATTTTTCAGTATTTTATTCTTAAATTAACATATTTTAAATGAATGATGTAATTTTGGTAATTTAATTTTGAACATTCCAATATCAAGGAACTATATATTTATGGAAATATATATTCATAAATATTCTTAACCAAATAAAATAAATGCACTTGATGAGTTTAATGAACTTATAAATGCCTTATAAATACTTATAAATACAATACCTGTGTTGATGGGGAAAAAATGGTTGTCAGTTCAAATATTAAAAAAATAAAACAAGACTACAGAAAATGTCAACAATTTAAAAAATAATACAACTCATTTATTTAACGTTAAATTTGTACTATAAATTATTATTTGAAACGAAATTTTTAATATAAACTAATTATAATTTCCTAGAAAATGTATTTCCTTGAGTAATCGTTATTCCTTGAAATATTAATGAATATTATTATGACAGTAATTATTATTGATTGATAATTATAATAATACGTTTTTTATCTTATTTTCCGTTAATTCCACAATAAATCAATTTAATGCCACATAATAAGTATTCTCCATTTAATCATACCCAGCTATTATCGAATACTATTTCAATCATATTATCAAATCGTATACGTTCTTATCACTTGTGTATATTACACTATAAATATTGTACGTCATATTGTGTCGTGATACGGAAGTATAAAAGCTGCAAAACTGCTGACGTCAAAAGTGAATAGTGTTTATAATAGTAGTAACGGATGCATGATGATATATAAATATTTATCGTATAAAGAAAAAAAATCTATTCAACATCATTTCAATACCTATAGAAAACGTACCTAAAAGACGATTACACTCCTAAAATCATACGTTCATTCAACTCAAGTGTTCTTAAAAATGTTCAACTTGTCCCATACATTTATTATGCAGTTCTTTTACTTCTTTTTTGCATTTTTCATCTGCAGTATTCAAGAAGCATGCTCATATTACATAAAAACACGGTTGTGTACTAGTAAAATCCTTCAACCGATCCGACGGTGCGCTTCATTATCTAATCGTAAATGTTGATATGTGTCGAGAATCACATGATCTTTTAAACGTTGTCCGAAGAGTGGTTCCACATAAATCGTCAAACGTTGATGTGATTTATCGAATTTATTTTCATAATAGAACCAAAAGTCCATAAGAATTTCAATTTGATTACTTTATGTTTAAAAATTTGATTCGAGATCCTTCTTGTTGTCAACAAAATAAAAATAAACTATCGGAAAGTCGCTAAAATATTTTTGCTAACATCTGGAAATCTAAATTTGAGTATTGCTTTTTTTATTTGTTTTTCTTAAAGAACTAATCGTTGAAACTTAAAAAGTTTACTGCGTAATTGTATTAGCATTTTATAGTATTCAACTCTAGATTAGTTATCGGCTATAATTTAATGATATTTTTTAACTTTTGGTTTTATTACTTGAAAATGTTACACAACATGCCTTTTATGTGAAAACATTGAACTCACAATATATATACAACTTCTTTCAATGTTCAAATAAATAGGTGTATTGTAATTTTAAACTCACCGTGCCTAATTATTTTTCGGAGTTATACGAGAGTTATTAAGTAAGTGTACGTAAACGTTACAACGGTTCTACTCGTATTCGTGCGATATAGGTGAGGTAATCCGCGTATACATTTATCAGATCTATTGCGGGAGAATATCGAATCTTGGTGAACGGTTATTTTTACGTGAAATACAAACACATTCATTTTTTTTATTGGTAAAATGAGTAATAGTTGACAACTTTGATGATAAAAATATAATATACGATATTAACAACGCAAATCTATACAAAGCACGACCGAAGTGCCGTTAGTTGCGATGCGATACGATCAAAAGACGGGGAACGTCGGTCGGTCGGCGTCGTCGGATGACGGCCGGACCCGTTAACGGCAGGTAAGGTTGATTCGGATTTCTTCGCGGCTCTTGTTGTTGGTCTCGGGCACGTAGAATAGGATGAAGATGAAACCTATGACCGACAAAGCGGCGAACGTGGCCCACAGCGCGATCGGAGAGCTGTCGACGATCATCTTGAACGTTTTCATGATGACGAACGACAAGGTCCATGAAAAGGTCGCGGCTACCGACGGCAGGCCGCCGTTCTCGGTCGGTATCAGCTCGGTGCTGATGAACCACGGTATGGGGCCTAGGCCCAGTCGAAACGCGACGATGAACGTGCACAGGATGAACAGTACGGATATCTTCCACGGTGAATTGTCCAAGGCTCCTGAAACAAAATCGACGATGAGAAAGACGTTGTTTACGGTGCACAGGTGACGGTTGTCCTTTGAATCGTGCATCGAATCCCACCGAATATCGGTACGGTTAGCCGGACGAAATGGTAGGACCGCGCCGAAACTGGAACTAACCTCGTTTCCCACCGCAACCCCACCGATCCACTCCAAAGGTTTCCGATGGATTTCCGCGGTGTCGGTTACTACTTCGTTTGCACGGTCGATCTTATCGTCGTTACTCGAGAAGCGAAATATTACGAAAATAGATTTAAAAATTGCGCGCACATTAGCTGTTGGAAAAAGACAACTACGTGCTAGCATCAGTTGTACGATGGTTAGACGTACGAGTATACCGCGACCGTAGGAAGTCGGCAAGTTATTGTTGTGAAAAGAAGTAAACAAAAAGTTAAATTTAACTTTGTGGGGATTTCAATGCATCGGACGTGGTCTACGAATAGATCGACGGATTTCGGCAATTCTGACTCGACGTAAAATTAACGGTTTGCCCGTCACGATCTCATTAATTGTCAATGTTGTACAATTTACTATCGAATATCTGGTCCGACACACAGTTTTTCATGACGGAAACATGCGTATAAAAGAAACGCATACGTCGTGGTGGACCATTTTGAACGACAAAATTGTAGTTTTATTTTCGATTTCATTAATTAATAGCAGTCGTCGACGCGCATTATTCGTTTTATTAACATGAAAACATCGACCGTGGTATTTTAATCTGATAATTTGTTCATGCATTTATTATTTAATGAAAATACGAAATTCGGAAAGTTTTATTAATATTTTCAACGGGGTTGTTGTAGACGTTTGATGAATTTCTTAACACTTACGGAGTGTAAGGTCATGCACACGCGTTTGCATGTCCGTCGACCACTGACCAGCCATCATCGATATGCCACGTGAAGCATTCGTTCGACGTTTATGTATGATTGTTGTAATGATAAATTAATTGCTTTTATTATGTGACGTTAAAATTTAATTTTTCACGTTTACGCGTAGTTTTTTATGTATTTTTTTTTTTTTTTTTTAACTAACGTTTATTATAGTGTTTTTTTCCGTCATTTTATAGCTAAACAGGACTAAAATTTTTAGGGAAATGCAAATGACTTTACCTATTTTAGTTTAGTTTAGTTTCCCTATCTCTTATATCGCTTCCACTTTGGTCCAATATAATTTCTATGAAAATTTAACTTGAAAAAAAACCACCTTCTAGACAAAATGATAATTCACATTATAAATAACTATTAAGATATACATGTATAGAAATGTTTTTAAAAATAATTGTTTTATTTTAAAATTTTCAACAATCAGGTTTCGTTGGATGTCTAACGTAGCTGATAAATCCGAGAAATAATGTCCTACAAATAATAAATAATTTATATTAAATATTAATTATACAATACGTATTTTACATTTAAATATACAACTGAAAATTAATTGTAGGAAAAACGGACATGGAAATCTCAAGATGCTTAGGGACCATGGTTCCCTAACGTTTTGCCACTTAAAGCCCTGCTATTAAGCAGTTATATTATTATATGCAATAAAATATAATATTGTAAAAATAAAAACTAAGCGTTTACAGTTGATTCGGTAACGTGGAAAAATACAGAAATAATTGGAACGGGTATCAAAAACTTATAAGGAAGCGATGAACATAATTTGTGGGTGCAGAAACGTGAGAGGAAAAACCAATGTATTTATAGGTGGTAGCAGGTGTGTACGTTTAGTGGTATGACTTTAACGCCTGATTTGTCAAAATTTGAGCAGTTATCATGATTGGTGAGAACTGTTAAAGCCAGATGATATTGAGTTTTTAGTAACATTCGGAGGAGAAGCCAAGAGGTTTTAGCTTTCTTCATTGTTCGTGTACGGGCGTATCCGGAATTGTATGAATTAAATAGACGAAGAAATAATAGTGGAGAAGATCTTTTATTGTTTGCAACTGTAAGGTACTAGCATAATTGACCTGTCTTTCAAGGACACCCGGTATGGTTGATCAAAAATGCAAATAGATACAGGCTACGATGACAATGAGCAATCTCGGTATCTCGGCGATTGTATAGTTTACTTAGACAGGAGTAACGAGAATTGCATGTGTATTATAATATCACTATAACACATGCGGAATTATATATGTATAGTAATATAACGTAAAACAAATCGATTTCGGTAATATCAACAAAAAAGTAATCATTCAACTGTTCCCAAATAATTGGTGTTTAGAAAAAAAGTTAAAAAAAATGTCGTAACTAAAACGGTAAGTTATTCAAAAGTCGGTGTTAAATGAAATACAATGGTTTTTTCTAATCATGAGCCGCTATATATATATCATTATTATTAGTGAATATTATAAATACCTGAATTTGATAATTTGAAGTAAATTGTTAGCATCATGAGACAAATAGTTATGACTCCCGATGAAATCAATAATAAAGTTCTTCGTCCGATTTTATCGATGAGAAAAAACGATAAACCGGAACCAGCCAGTTGAAAAACGCCAATTATGACACACGCTGCGTCCGGAGGGATGTTGCTTGCTGACATTTCGAATAAAGAATCCGAATATTGTATTATAGCTCCAGCGCCGGACATTCTTTGAGCGAACACCAGACCAAAAGTTATAAATATCACTTTCCACCAAAATTTTTTGAAACGATAAACATTGGCTTTTAAAATTAAAATAATTGAAACATGCAGTATCAGCTCAAAGTTAACACAAGTCTAAAGTTCTGAGCTGGATCCAGGTTCAATCAACAATTGTTGATGAACTTATTCAAATAATTTAACTACCTATTAACAGACAAGATTGATTAACATTATTTATTGGTATTTTTATTGAGTCATTGGGATAGATATGATTAAGATGATTAACATACAATAATTTACAATTTTTTTCGAATAATAAATTATAAACGTTTCTGGCACAAAATGTTATTTTAAATATAAATTTATTAAAAAAATAGTTTATATATAGAAATAACTAAATGAATAAATTAAAATTTAGTCACGAGTATTGCATTTGTCAAGTTAACTTGATGATGTGAATTTTTAATTTAAACCGGTCGTCCTTTACAAATATAATAATACATCAAATTAAGTTTTTATTTATTTATTTCTGTACCTGTATAAAATATTTGTTTATTTATATATTATTTTATAAGTACTAACTAACCATAAAATAATTTTTAATTTTAATTATTTTATTATAAACAACAATCAAGAACGAACACGCTTGAACCTCTATTTATACATAATAATAAATAATTAAATTAAATAAACAAGTGTAAAACTATAAAAGGTACATATAGTTCAAGGGGTGATCAATTTTAACAGACCAGTAAAAACAGACCAGAGTCAAATTTTCATACGGTTAAGTACGTTACTGTTGTTTTATATTGTTTATTTACTATAGGTACACTTCGAATAAGTTTTTATAATGTTATTGAACGGAAATCGGTATATTTTCCATGGGAATAATTAAAATTTAAGAGTTCTATTTTTTTAGCATTACTGATTTACTGTAATTCAAGAATACTATAAAAAAAAAAAAAAAAAAAATTACAGAAAATCCTCAGAAAAAACCTAACCTTTTTCCTGATAAAAATTATTAAATGCTATATTAAAACCATCTTTTACATAAGTCTTAACCTCATTTTTAAGGTTGGGGACTTATTTCACACAATTTTTAGAAAATGTGCATGCACATACATGTGCAGATACTTAAAAAAACCGAAATATGCTCAAAAATATGAAACTACATTTTTTTACTATAGCATTGTCAATATTTTTTTCTTTTTTTTTTTTTTAATTTGATTTATTAAATTTTATATGTAAATCATTTTTGTGTTTAGTTATTTTTTTGACAACAATAACTATAGGTCTACAACTCTAATTTTGATCTGTATGGTCGAATTCATTTTTTTCGTTTTTCAATATGATTTATTATGCCGGGTACACACATTGGCCCCAATATTGGAACTAATCCGTCGCTCGTCGGTTTTTTGACGAAACATCAAAAGCTGAGCCCAATGTTGACGTGTCTTTCACAGATTAAATAAAAAAAAAATAAAAAATAATAATAATTTAGTCTTACAATATCACGGCTATAACTATGATATTTGCTACATAATATATATATATGAATGATAAGTTTTACCGATTGCTTTTAATTAATACGAGACTAAAGTCGATTTGAAATAATATGGCAATGTGCATATAAAGTATACATGGTCAATATGCATAAACTAGAATGTAGTTTGAATTTTTGTTAGTCCGTCGACCGTGTAGCGTTGGCAACCGAATGATAGTCGGCCCGATGAATGAGCGCTGTACTATAAACATGAGCCAACGTTGGGACCAACGATGGTACTAACATTGGCGCCAACATATGGACCCCCCAGATTTGATATTATGAAAAATGTTTAGTATTTAGAATAAATTTACTGCACACATGATATAAAAATGAGTAAACATGCCATAAATAGTAATTAAATTGCAAAACACTATCTAATATTCATTTTTGTTTTAAAAACAGCAAGGTATGCAAAAATATTTTGAGCGCTCATAAAACTTTTCAAGTTACCTTGACATTTTTTTTTTTTTTTTTCTTATATATATAATATAGTTGTTCACTGTTGTATGTTTATGGGTGTGTAATTTTACATATTAGACATAGGATCTCACTGCATGTTTGTAATACTTGTATACGATTATATTTAAAATTAAATATGATCATGTAAGATAACCGAATAATATTAACCTACTTGTTATTGCCAATTTTATTTTCACCGCATTCAGTCGATACCTTAAAGTCAAATCGAGACCTCTCAATTTTCTCAAACTCCTGATTCACATTGAACCGCCTACCTCGTAACCATCTAAAAAACAAAAACCATTAAAATGTGAAATAATAATGTTAGTTTTCCCAATCATCTGTTAGGCAAAAGTTAATATATAAATTAGAGTTTAAGATGTCCCGTCTTTAAAAAAATCTTTGTTTCAATTGACAAGACTTTACAAAAAAAAATAAATACACGTTTCGGTGTATCGCGTTTCACGAACGTTCGTAACACCAGTGGTTTATTAACCGCTGCAGTGGCCAGCGGGATCAATAGCCGGTGGGATAAATAGGAGCCATCCGATTTAATACCTACGTGAAGATCAAATGATCGCAAACGGTAACAAAAAAGGTTGTCAGCGAAAACGTGCACCGTAACACGGCCGTAGCATAAGCGTTCGCGACCCACAGGATGGATATTAAACGGATATCAGACCGTCACGTGTTGGTCACACACCTTAACACAGCGTTTCCCAAATTTTTTCTCAAACGGACCCTTTAGAGAGAATAAAAACGATTGCGGACCCCTTAACACAAATAAAAATTAAAAACAATAATAAACAATAATACTCTGTGGGTTTTTTTAATTTACGTTCGCCTATCCCTTCCGGCATACGCGCGGACCACTAGGGGGGAAGCGCTACCTTAACATCGCGTCCCCGGTACGGTAGACCGCATGACGACGTGTCCTCCGGGTCGATTGCACAACCCGCGAGCCTGATCTCACCCCGTGTGTTCTGCCCACGACGATTGTTAACGCGCCGTTCGGATCGCCCCGTGCAATCCCCCCGGCCGACCACCGCAGCGCGACGGACTCACCTGAACGTAGTGGTTGCCTGCTCGTACTGGCCCTTCTCGAAAAGGTGGACGGGCGACTCGGGCATGCACGAGAATACCGCGACGAACGTGATCGGCACCAGCACGCAGACCTTGATGAAGTCGCGCAGGCTGTTCAGCAGCGCCCGGGCCACGTACGCGTACAGTATGCCGGCGCACAACATGAAGTCGAAGAACACGCCGGTACGGCCACGCAGCACGTCCGACGACACGTCGCTGGCGTACAGCGGCACGGCCACGGTGGTTGCGCCCACCGACAGCCCGCAAAAGAACCGTCCGACGCACTCGAGTACCAGCTGAAATGAATAGAACGGCAGACGGCTCCGGTTAACCGTGTCGTTGTCATAGTTATTTTGCTCACATTTTTACACGTAGTACGTAGGGTACATAAGCGCAAATAAGAAATTTCAATAGAAGGGGGGGGAGAGGTTTCAGTCATACTATTTTTAACCGAAAACTATAACTTAAGGCTTTCATCCCTTACCTTTAAATCATCCAAAGTATAATCAAAATAATCATTAAATTATTAGTATTAATTATAATCACTAAGGGCAGTGATCAAAGAAAAATAAAAGATCACAATCATATAAAATAATACATTTATAAGATCTAAAACGATAATAAGTCCGAGGGGCTAAATTCACAAGCTCACTAACCTATTTGCGCCTATGCGTGTAGCTACAATAAGAACTGCACTTGTGTGTACAATGAAAAACGCACTCGGATCTTCAACGCATATCTATCTTCCGTGTTAATATTATCTGTGGTTGCATCGGAAAGTGCATTAACTGAGATTAGTCTGGCCCAACATCTCTGCCGTCGACCACCACGGGACGCCAAATTCAAAGCGAAATGAAATCCAGTAAAAAGTCCAACGGGTGTTTGTGCAACACGATTGCAATGCGTACTTAGCATATTAACGGTACTGGATTATATGACAAATATATGTCTTACCGTTAATTAGCATAGTTAAAAATCAGTATGAAAAGTAAGGAAGGTCATGTGTACTGTGTCCTGTTATGGTGAAAGGAGGAATCCACACAAAAATGTAAATGTTAAATATGTAAAATGTTAATTCCGACTAATTAAAGATATATTTTGAAAAAAGTTAGGAACAAAATCATTGAAATTAGTATTTTTTATTAAATATTTTAAATATTTAAATACATTTTAAATAATTATCTTCCGCGTTTAAAATTATAATAAACAAGTCGATACTGCTGTTTATCAGTTATTTTAAAAGTTATTTGATAAATACGTAATATGTATACACCAAAATTAGTTTCCTAAATAATCATAATAAAAACAGTAATTACACAACATCCTTGCAGTGTTCTCTTTTGGGATATTTAACACACGGTTTATTCGTCTAGTGTTCGTTGAAATTTTGGTTGATAATACATATTAAAAGCTTATTTCGATGGTTATACCTTTATTTTCTACTAATTTTAAAAATCGGCAATACATCAGCCACCTGAAACTACCGTTAGTTACTGCTTTAGGTGGCGGGTCTCCATGATTTATTAAATGCTATATCAGTTTTTGAGACAACTGCTGGACAATCCCCCACCGAGGGTTATACCCTTAACGATGTTTTACTGCATTTTAACCCTATATAATTAATGAAAAATGGTCCAATAAAAAAATATTCTACATTCATGTAGTTTTTAGAAATTGGTTTGTTATTGCGATAGACCATTGGACATATAAAAATTTTATTGACCTGTCCAGAAATTCTTGATAAGCTTTAAGCTACGGATTATGGGTCACGAAAAATCCGCTATTTCCATCGACGGAGATACGCCTTAGCTTTAGCCCAAACATTTTTATAATATTTCATACTCACGCTATTCGAATACAGAAGGCAAATTAACCAACCGGCGATCATGGGAAAAGCCAGCCATATCAGATACTTCTTTCGGCCGTACCTCCGAGACAACCGGCCGGACGGTAATGCACCGACCAACGCGCCCAGCACGTATATCGCTATAACCCACGATTCTTGATCCTCGGTCCACATATTCAAGTCAACGTCGTTGGGATGTCCACCAGACGGTGACCATCCCGCGATCACAGTGCCCGACGACAGTGACATTAACGATGCTTTACACATAAAAATACAGTAGAGAAAAACGATACATAAAAGTATAAACGAATAGCAATTAGTCACTGTTTTTATTTTTATTACTAAACCTGCTACAGTTATATCTTATAACATATTTTACTTTTGCATAATGTTGTTTGAATTTATGAAAAATATAATATCTGGTATGGGGAATACGGAAAAATTAAGGCTTCTATAGCTTAGACTAGGTTATTATATTATAAGTTTATTGTGTTGATACGTGACATGCACGTTAAGTAATCACCATTGATATCAACTCAGAGTTTTCGGGTAGTTAGCTATCCCAATGGGGTTGTTCGCTGTTATATTTTACAAGACAAAACGGAGTGACATGCTGCTAAAACAATACGAAATAATAATCGAATTTTCATTAATTTATTGGATATTTTAAAAGAATTAGTTGTAGTAGTTATATTTATTGATAATAATTAAAACAGTGATCTATTGAGCTATTTTATATGTGATCATAAATAATATTATGATTACCTAAGAAAGCCGCCAAAAGTTGCCGATAACAAGATTTAGCACGCTCAGCTTCATCTTCGCCAATGAGCCTTTCATTTTCTCTGGACATATGGTTATCTATTAATGATTTCATATATATAATATTATAAAATTATATTTTTTAATCGACGTGAGTTATTTTACAATGATGTACAGTGAATGCCACTTATCATCTGAAACAAAAAAAAATAAATATATGCAATCAATTCGATAAACATTTTAATAGTTTTTTAGCAGTAGTATTTTAGTTTGATTAAATAAAACATATTTTTTTTTTAGATAATTCATTATGTACAATATGATTTATAATATATATATATATATATATATATATATATAATCCTATATACATTTCGTCTAGCAAGACTTTTTAAATTTCATTCTTCAAGATTTTTTTTCATATTTTAAGCATAATATAATAATATATTTGTTTAATATAATAACATAATTATATAATTAGAATTGTTTACGAATCTAATAATTTTAAAGTATTATTTATTTAATGAACATATTTAAATTTTTATTCGTCAAATGGTCGTAAATTCGATATATATTTAATATTCTTATACTGTCGATTGGACGAACACTAAAAACTAAGGTAAGTACCTAGTTTTTATCCAAAAATATTAATTGTGATGCAATCAAGATAAATAAAAATCAAGTTATAGTGAATATGAATCCATATTTTGTCGTTTGTTCATATTTGAAAATTTGAAATAACATTTTACTGTTTTATATAATATTTAATCATAATAATAATAATAATAATAATAATAATAATCATATCAATAACCAATAACAAATAATCATAATGATGATAATAATAATAATAATAATAATAATAATAATAACGATAAATAATTACCAATTGGTTTCTGAACTGTGCGCGAGCAAATGTTTTTAGTATACTTTTGCGAATAAAGTGTATGTCTTACGATTGTGTTACTTATCTTAGCCCGATCTCAGTCTTAGACGTACATCGTACAGGAGTTGTAATGAACATTTGAAAATAATATGCAAACGTGACGTTCGACAAAACTATACCGGTCAAGGTTCGGAGATTTTGATCGGTTGAGTCCGGTAAACGGACGTGAAACGCACCGATATCGATGCAGATCGACCGTTCGGATGGAAAACGATGAACATGTGCCGCGTTACGGCCGAGCGGAATCGGAAAACGCGAACGATATTTGACGAGCTACGGCGCGACTGTTTGGTAACAGAACGCTGCTCGGACTAATGACGTGCCACGCGCGGACCCTCCGCAACGGACGGCGGCGGCGTGTCGTCGTGAGGAGCAACACCGTGGATCCGGTTTTCGTTGCATTTCGCGCGGTACGCGTGCGTCCAACCGTTGCCGATTGTTGCGTTACGTAACGTTAAGCCTGCGGCACCGCTGTTCGCGGCGGACGGGCCGTCGCCCGGCGCTCGGCTGCCCAGAAATCACGAACTCCGGTGACAACAACAAACCCAACGGGAACCGTGCGGTACCGAGCAGTCCGTCATCCGCTATGATCGCGCCGAGGAACGTGTTGGCGCAGTCCTCGAGGCCGCCGTTCGAACACGAAACCGACCGCGGCCGCGCGGTGGACCACTCGGTCGTCGGTCGGTCGCACGTCGCCCGACGGGACAACGTCGACGTTTCGCACTTCATATACCGTCGTCGCGGATTTGACCGCGAACGCCGGAGATCAAGAAGAGCGGGTATTGGAACTATAGAGCTGTGGTTCCCAAACCGTGAGGCTCGAGCACTCGGAGGCGGAGGCGCAAGGCATATATTTATACTGTACATTGCACTGTCGTATGTTTATGATATTATTTTTGGATCGACAACAATTCGTTTTTATTTAAATGATAAAAAAAAAATGTCGTTTTTTTTTTTTTTTGCGGGAATGCGTTACCCAAAAAGTTTGGGAACCGCTGCTGGAGAAGATAAAAACATAATACATGTTCAAAATTTTCTGCTAATAATTGAACTTCACTGGGTAATGTAAACATTTAAAAATATTCTGTCCACTTACATGGAGATAATGCAATGCCTATGAAGTGTTTTGAAATCGTCAGGTTTAGTACAATTATTTGCGGTAAGCGATTACATAAATGATAACTATAGTCCAAAGGTTTGACTATTAAATTATATAAATTCTTTAATTTTTTATTTTTATTTTTGTACTTAACTTTTTTTTTTTACATTGTGTATGACTATTTATTTTTGTTGGTACAACGCATTTTAATTGTAATATAATAATTAAAGTACCTGATTATACTTTTTCAGTTATATTTCGATGCCAGGTGAAATTTTTAAATTTAATTAATTTTAATTAATAATTTATCAAACAGGTTATGTTTACTAATATACTAGAATAAACAATTTGATTTATTTATGTAACTATAAGGATATCAAATTTCAATTAGGTCTTCCTGTTATATGATATAAATAAATTTACTCTGTTGATACAACTTGTACAACTGTAGTCCATTGTTTCCCATGTCTTCATTTTTAGCGATTAACTTTTATTCTAAATACTTATCACGACACCAGGGACGGATTCAGGGGGGCCTAGGGGCACAGCCCCCCCAGACATATTATTTCTCAAATTTTTTTTATAATTCTACACATCGTGATATTACTTTTTTTAAAATCACATATAATATATATCTGATAATAAAAGAATATAACTAATATATAATATATTAAACAAGGTGGATATAAGTATAAGATGGATATAAGTAGATATAAGCGACAATGTAAAAAGACGTTTAGATTTTATAATTTAATATATAACATTTATAAATTAAATAATCATTAATTTATTTATTACATTGATTACCTATGTCCTATACCTACCTACTCAGTGGCGTAGCTAGAATTTTCTGAAGGGGGGTGTTAATTATAATTATTAAATATTATATATAATACGTACGAACTAAAACTTTTATTTTAATTAATTAATATGTATACATAATGTCTGTAATAGAGATGTAATGTATATTCGAATTCGGATAGCTTTACCATAAATTATTCGAATACTTGACTATTCGAATATCAGTATTCTATGCTACAATACCTATTATTATTAAACGTTTTGTGTTGCACGAAAACGTAAACGAATAATTTTCGTCACGTATTGTCGCAATCGTGATAATGTTAACCTGTATACATGTAATTAGTATTGTGCATTATTTTATATTTCATATTGTATTATCGATTTACCTATATTCCTATAATAATGTAATATATGATACGGCTAAAGGGGGGTGTCTTATCTACCAAACACCCCCCTTGTATACGCCTCTGTACCTACTATTATGACATAATTTTTAAATTATGAATAAAATACCTATAAAAAAATTGTAGAGGCCCCCTATATCTTTACTCTGAATTCGTGCCTGCAAGATACTGGATATGATTTTTTGATGAATTTTGGATTCATTGAACATATTTTATTTCATTCGATTTTGTAAATTTTATTAATATGCAAGTTTTCGTCTCTTATCGCCATCTACTAGTGAATTACCGTACTGCATTAATGATTAATCCACGGTCGCATGGAATTATATTCCACTTGAATTCTTCCACTACAAAATACTTTTTAACGAAATGTTTAACAATCGAATACAATTTTCAATTCGAATTCACCACACAATCGTACGAGTGATATGATGAATGAAGAATACGTTATATATATATTTATAGAAGTGTATTTTCAAATATTTCGTGATGGAGCTTTTAAATTTTTCTAAAAAATAAGTCATTTTATAATATAATAATAATAATAAAAAAATGTATAAAAAATATGAATTAATAATAATATTATTCTATTACTACTATAAATAAAAACGAAGAGTTATTTACAATCACATGACATAAATTATAATTTATTTAGACTTTCTCTATACCTTAGTAGTAAATCATTTATGACTTTTTAACTTTTTTATCTTCCAGAGGGTGGCCATACCCGAAAAACGTTTTTCATTTATAATGCAAATATTATGAAGTTATTACTAATTAGTTATAACCTTTATATTAGGATAAAATGAAAATTTAAGAATCTATCAAGAACAATTATTTAAAAAAAATGTATCTGGAGAATTATTGTAATTAAAATGTATTGTTATAACTCCGAATAGTAATCGTTGAAAAGATGAAATAGTTGTATTAGTTTTCAATCAGTGAACAATTAAATATAACTTTAACATACATTTAAATTGACTGGTTACACTCAAATTTAAAAAAATATCATTAACTTAAATCGATTTAATCCTTTTGAAGACAATTTGCTTCCGAATGAATATTACATTAATTTTTAGTTTTTTACGAAGGCAAATTAAACAACCAATCACGGGCAAAGCCGTGATAGGTTGGCTATTTATTTTATATTTTTATTTCGTTAGTAATGTTTGCAATTATTTTAGTTAACAGATTTAATTTCGCTGGGACGCAAAAAATTATTTTATTTATATATTCTATTAATGAGTACGTAAACGAAACGGATGATGATGGATTGTATTGAAATTTGAATAAAATAGTAACTTGATCTTTAGCTGACAATCAGTGATCGACGATGATCGAATGATGATTCATTCAAAAAATTAGTTTATTATTGAAGATACGATTTGTGATACAATAATAATTTTAAATGTATAAATTCATTAAAATAACCGACAGTGAAATAAAATATATAGATATATGTATGATATGAGTATGATCATAAGAGAGAAAATTATAGTTGAAGAAAATCACATAACTCAATTTGGAAGACTATTCGTACACATTATAATGATCAGGTCGTTGGTTTTTCGAAAACGTGACAGGACAATACAATACATTTTTACAATATAGTCACTGAATTTGAACCATGACGTCTACTACAGATAGGTTGAATATTATTATAACACCAAGTAATTTAAAGGTCTAAGTCATAGTCTTACATGGTTTAGATATATACGAGTATAAAAATATAGCTAGTATAGCGTTTCATAGTCTAGAGCAGCAGTTATCAACCTTTTTGAGTTCGCGACCCCCTATAATGTCACCAATATGTCTAACGACCATTTTGTAACGTAAGCATTGGAAAATTTAACAAACTGTTATTATTGTATTTATTTGTGTATACATTTTACAAAAAAAAAAGTATATTATAAAAGCTGATTGGTGTTAATTAATGGAAAAAAAATAAAAATTATGTAAATTTTAAAATATTTTTAATTTAATGACTCTTTTGCTGTTGTTGATTTGAAATAATTTTTCTTTTACATGATGCGACCCTAAAAAAATAGTTGGCGACCCCCAACTTGAGAATCGCTAGTCTAGAGCATAAGTCATTATAGGTAATTTTTACCACCCTAGAAAATAAAGAGTGGCTGACGTTCGACGGTGACTGTCGATTTTTTCTAAGTAGGATTTTGCAACTATACATATTAACGGATATGAGTTCTATCAAAGATTATGGCACAAAAGCCGGTGTCTAGTTTTTTTTGTGATTGATTACGAAACCTCGAAAGTGTTTCTGCTCTGATAAATCAACAATAAATGTGATATGTACGTAATTATAACAGTTTTAATTTAACAAAAACATAATAAATGGTATTTTATTATTTATTATTTAATTTTGGCGTATTACAATAAAATAATATTATAATAATATTCATAAATTTAATTCCAATGTACACATAATTTACATTCATATACCGACCATTATTCTTAAAATTAATTTAGGTTTTGTGATTTAAAGCCGGCGTCCCTCAAGGCAGTGACATCGCTCCTTTTTTATACAATGTCTTTACTCACGATATCCCAAAAACCTCTTTCACTGAACTCGGAACTTACGCAGATGATACAGCTATCACCGCGTCTAACGAAAATCCAACTATAGTTTCTAGTATGATTCAATAACACCTGAACATAATCCACTTATGGACTAAGAGAAGGAAAATTAAAATAAAAGCGTCCAAATCCTCATACATCACTTTCACCCTAAAAAGGGAAACATGCCCACCAGTCACTTTTAATAATATCTCCCCCATTCCTGTCTACATCGAAACCAAATATCTTGGCCTGATCCTAGATAGGAGACTGACTTGGACCTCACATATCAAAAACAAACGCAAAGCTCTAAACTCCCGTCTTTATTTTCTCAGACTTCTATTACGTTCCAAAAGCAAAACACTAATTTATAAATCGTTACTTAAACCACTATGGACTTACGGTATCTAACTATGGAGAGCCGCAAAACCATCGAACTTAGCAACTTTGCAATCCTTTCAATCAATATGTCTTCGACTTATCTCCTCATCTCCCTGGTACGTCACTAATAAAAACTTACACAAAGATCTCAGAATGGAACCCCTTAACAAAATCAAAAAAAACTTCTATAATAAATATCATAATAAACTCTAGTCAAATAAGAACCCTCTCATATCCAAATTGTCTTCTAATACACTACCTAACAACTCAATTCGTAGGCTAAAAAGAAAATGGTGCAGAGATCTCTTAATTTAACTACATCTTAACATTCATAGTCATTCATTTCATTACACTACATTACAATAATAACTAAATAGTAAATTAATACACCTGCTGGGTGTCACCAATGGGTGCCTTCCTTTATCCGTCATACACGTTATTTTATATATATACCTATTTTAAAAAACCTATTTATTGTACAAACATATGTACATATTGAAGATTACTTAATAAAAAAAAAAAAAAAAAAAAAAGGTTTTGTGATAAAAACTTTTGTGTTATTTAATACTGCACTTTTGAGTCAACATGGTCCAGTTGAACGCATATGCCGATAGCTATGGCCGATTATAATTTAAACAATATATATTTATAATAATATTATTACTACTACTACTACTATTACTTTTTTTATTTTTTTTTATCTTGAACGTCGAACCGGGGGAGAACTGCCTATGCTTTGCATTCCCACCGGTCCGTCGTCGTTTATTTGTGTAAATTTGAAATTAACTACTAATACTACTTCTATTACTACTACTACTACTACTTCTTCTATTACTATTACATTGTGAAATAATAAACGTTGCATAATTTGGTGCAAAACATAAATAGCGACGCTGCCGAAACTCTCGGTCCGTGTTACTACAAAATAATGATAATAAGCACTAATTATGTTATTATATTGCCTAGTCAATTGCACTAGGATTCCATGTGAAAACTAATAAGTTTAGAGGTTGCATTACTTTCAATTTTTGAATAAAACTCGCACCGAACATGTTTATTTGCTAATGGTTTAATTAAAATTGTTTTATAAACTTTAATATACGAGTATTTAAAATGCGTAAATAATTTATATAGATGTATATTTAATGAAAAAAAATTGTGATTTTTTTTTTTTTCGTAATCGAATCAAAAAACTATTTGCTCTATAGCGAATCGATTGAGCTCAAATAATTAGATAACAAAATATTTTAAATATAGAGTGGTTGAATTAGCTTCAAATATTTGTCAGGATAATGATGTAAATATTATGTAAATACAACATAAATAACATGCCGTTCTCTTAAAAATATATTCAATGCTTATATATAAATACTCGTAATATATTTTGATGAGGATGACATGTCATATTTACGAAGTTTTATTATCCTTCCTCTTTTTTGGAGTTGATCTGT